TTATGGGTTGACCTTAGAAAAAGGCACTAAAATGAGTATTTAAGAGATGGCACAACGAGGAGTATACCAGTGTTTATTCCTCTGCCTGGAGCTACACAGATGGGAAATAGGACAATGCATTCTGTCATGAGAAATTATCCACTTCCTTCTTGACGCAAGAGAGCTGAGTGTTGGCTTTAAAAATAATGAGTGGTTAAGGATGATCACTGTGTATAACACCATTTACAGAATGAGGAAATTCACAGATTTAAAACTGCTGTGGCATTAAAAAACTATCTCCTCATGCAGAGGCAAGATCCCACCCAATTGTAAGATTTCACTCTGTCCTCTACTTGGAAGCACCAGAACACACTAATTAATGGTCACATTAATTGTATCTGATTGGAAAATGGCTCTAATTTGAAACAGTGCCTCCCAACTGGAATATACATGCAAACATTTGACAAACTTGGCCCTGAGGTTCTGCATTTCTAAGAAAATCCCGGAGCACACTGATAGGATACTGAGTAATGAGGATTTAGACTTACTAGTTTTCCCTAACTCATAAGCGTGGGAAGAAATCACAGATAAAAATTTTGTTTCATAAATGTTACAATTGCAGGAAACACTTTTTTCGTGGGACAAAGGAGTCAGGCAGTTCTTATATCACCTTCCCTCTTATGGAGATTGCTAAGAGAGGTTATCACATTATTACAGCTTCCAAAACCTCCACTGAGCCAGCATTTATAAATTACTCATGACCTTTATATATTATTTTTACAATTAAATTAATTTAAAATCTAGGTACTTAATAATTTCAGAATGAGCCCTTTATTTTTATTATTATTTTTTTTTTTTGCAAAAGACAAAATAGATAGGTTCCTTCACTGCTCACTCTGAAGGGCCAGCCAGTTTGTGTGGGATTTATCCCAGTACTTCCACACGAATTCACAGAAAACTTCGCATTTATTGATTTATTTGCTTGTTTATTAAATTAAATGTCATTAAATCAAAGCCACCCATAATCCTGCTATCCAGAGATACTCACTCTTGGCCTTTCCTAGTCACAAAACATCATCGTGTAGGGGTGCATAATTACTCATACATTCCAGCTTCTCTCTATTTTAAGAAAGTATCCAAACCTCTACACCATGATCCAAAGCCTGCCAAAGGAGGTTTCTAAGAAAGCATCTTAAATTTCTGAAAACAATTCCTTATATATTAAAGAATGTTAGGCAATTTTCTGCACTAGCCCCTCGGTGTTTTGTTATTTGGCATGCGAAGAGATTAGGAAATATGGGTTTTTTTTCTGATTTAAATTAAGTTTGAGAACTATGGGGATAGTTATCAACAAGTAAGCTCTTTTGGGGCAATACCAGGCATTGAATGCAGGGCCTTTGTACTGAGCTATATCCTCACCTCCCTTTTCTTTTTCATTTTGAGAAGGTCTCACTACTATCACTGTATCGTCCAGGTGCACTGCTCCTGCCTTGGCCTCCCAGAGGTTGGGATGAAAGGTGTGCACCGCCACAGTTTACTTGATAGATTCTTTATCCAGTTCTCTATTTTGAAAGGCACTTCTGACTTCACTCAGTAGAGCTAATGTTCTAATAGCTTAAAAAATAATTGTTTAAAAGAAGAAAAAGACTACTGAAGTGATTCTTTTAGATCATACACCCAATCTAACACCCAGTTGTGCAGCTAATAAAAGTAAGCATGAAAATGAATTGATCTGTCCAAACTACATAGTCTAGATTTTTGTTTAGATTCCACTCAGATTTAAAGAGATAGATAGATAGATAGATAGATAGATAGATAGATAGATAGATAGAAAGAAATGGATGGTATTTATGTATACTTAACATGAGCTGTTTCAACATGGCAATAATGATAAAGTTGAAAGACACTGTTTCATGCCCTTTTCTCCTTATTCCATGTAAAGGGATCCTATTCCTTTCTTAGTAGAAGGTCAAATGTCACAACAACAAACAACTTCTGGAAGGAAAGATTGGGATCACTAACAGCCTTTATCAAACTTTACCAAATATTTTACTAGAGAAATGAATTCAAATGTGCTGACTTGATTCTCATTTGGAGAAAAAAAAAGTCATAGACCTTTATTTGAGATGGGCAACTTTAACTTTTACATAAATTTTCATGTTAGGGGGACCCCAGTAGAATCCAGTTTAAAGGAAAGGGAGAAGATTTATTTAACATGCTAAATGAAGAAGGTTAGTTACCAACTTCATAATAGAAAAAGATAATTTCTCCACATATTTATATTAAATTTTGAGAAGATCATAATGCCTATACGTGAAACAATTACTTCCACAAATAGGCATCTATTTAGGTTTTTTAAAAAACTTAGAATCCTCTTCACAAGCTCGGTCTCTATGTACTTGAATGTGCTGTACAAAATAGAGCATCTAATTGGAGGGTCAGGAGGGAAACAATAGTTAGATGCTCTTACCCTAAAGAACTGTCTTTCACTGAAGGGTCCCTATGTGTAATAGTCTCCTTCCTCTTTGTCCATATACATTGCCTCAAACAGGGAACACTTTTTTAGCTGTTGTACAACTGAACTCACGTGCATTCTTTGTGTGTGTGTGTGTGTGTGTGTGTGTGTGCGTGTAGTGGGGGTAGTGGGGATTGAACCTGGGGCCTTCACACTGAGCTACATCCCTGGCCCCTTTTTAAAACATTTTGAGATACTGTCTTGCTAAGTTGCCCAGGCTGTGCTCAACCTTTCGGGCTTCTGCTTCACCTTCCTAGAGTGCTGGGATTACTGGCTTATGCACCATGGCCAGCTACATTCTTTTTTTTTTTTTGGTTTTTTGAGTTAGGGTCTAACTATGTAGTTGAGACTGACTGGAAAACTCACTGTGTAGCCCAGGCTGGTCTCAAACTCATATCGATCCTCCTGCCTCAGCCTCCTGGGATTACAGGCCTGCACCACCATGCCCAGCTCCAAGTTACATTCTTGATCTAAAGGATCAAGATAAAAAGACAAATCTCTTTTTTAGATTTAGCTGCTTAAGCATTAACCATCTTGTGGAGTAGTATGTGACTTGTGCACAAGCATGTTTTGCATCACCTACATTGTGTAATATATTCTGGATGTACTATATGTTGGGGTATATTCTTTTTTTATTTTTATTTTTATTTTTTTGGTACCAGGGATCGAACTCAGGACCTTGCACTTGCGAGGCAGGTGCGGCACCACTGAGGTAAATCCCAGGACCCTGGGGTATCTTCTTTTTTGTGTCACAAAGAGGGTAAACAAATAGTAACACATAGATACACAAAACTCTACAGTTTCGGTCACCAGTAATATTAGAACAATACTCATACGCTGACTGCTACTTATGATCACTAAATGATTATAACTTACGATCCACAAAAATTTCTGACTACTGAAAAATTGCTTCTCTGGTGACCAAAAATACCACATCGTGAGCCAGACACACCTGTAATCCCAGCACTCAGGAGGCTGAGGTGAGAGGATTGCCATGAATTTAAGGCCAGCCTGGGTTATACAGTAGGTTCATAAGCTACATAGTGAGACCCTGTCTCAAAGTGAAAAAAAGAAATCATGGTCTCACAATCGAAACAAGAATTTACATGAGGAAGAAACAGAGCAGACGTGGGTTATTCAACAGTGGCAAGAAGACACTGAAGATAATGTCCTTGCTTTTTTTGGCATGACCATTTAATATTTTCTCTACTTTATTCCACCCCATCCTTACGCCCAGAAAGACTCCCTTGGGGAACACATGGAAAAAGTCTGTTAATGTTTTCTGAATAGAAATACATTCAGTCCTTAAGGAAGTTTCACATAAATTGACTGTTTCCAGATTTAAATAGGAGGCCAAAAAGATTTAAGGGAGTTTTGTGAATTACTATGTGAGTTACAAAACAGTGTTTTCAGTGTAGAGTGGGACTTTTATCAGGGAGAGGAGCTGAAGAAGTTACTATACGTTTTTAATATTTTTATTTTTGATATATACAGGATTAAGTCATTGTAGAAAAAGCTGGAAGGCAGGCCTTAAATTATTACCACTGTTCATACTGCCATAAGGGCATAGCAACACAAAAGTCAACATGCAGGATTATTTACTTATCTCAGCTCTTACTTTTGTGGTGATTTGACCTGCAATACTCACTTTCTTTGTTATGGCTCTTAAGGATCCCAACCATTCTGGTCATCCTATTGCAGGTGACTTGAGTGATGGTGACATTTGTTTACATTCTTTAAATGCAAGAGCCACACTGGCCCAGGTACCATACTGATAGGAAAGCACAGGCAGCATTGTCCTCCCTGAAGATTAGGCAATGACCAGTTGGCACCCTGAGACCAGTCTGGCCCACCCTGCTTGAGTGACAACATTACAAAGCAGAAGACCCACAACAATTTTCTCAAGCTTCTGAGTTTCCTCTATAAGTGATGGCAGTGAGAGAACAATAAAAACAAAAATCTATGACAATCTATGCTGAAAATGATTTTCCAACTTGCTACTATTAGCATTCCTTTTCATTACGATAAAAGCAGATTTTATACATCATAATTTGGTTTTGATATTCATACACATAAAATCTCCATTATATATATTTCTGTGCATGAAGAATGTAAGCTTTGACCCAATATTAAGAATACACACAAATATACAGATATATAACCTTTCAAGAAAAGAAAACCCTGAAAAATGACCTGAAAAGAAACATGAAATGAAAACAAAAATTGATTTTTTAGCTTTTTAGAAGGCAATGGTCATTTTAAGGAATGCTGTCAGCCCTTGATATTCCCAAACACACCGATCACTTTGGTTCAAAACTGATTAGTTCATTTCCTTCCTGGTAGGTATTTTTGTTGTGTATTCTAATTACGTTGTAAATTGACTGAGTTATTTAAAAGAGGGGTGTCTTTGGAAAAAGACAGAATTAAGAAGCTACAGACTCACTCGATTTCATTCTGCTACTGATTTTCAGCCAACACACAGTTTCGGTTTTGTCTTTTGGTGCAGACCTTGGCTGCCTGAGGAGTGCAAGGCCGCCACACATCCCGCGCAGACCCTGAGCTCAGAGTGTGCCGCGCTCTGTCGGAACGGCTACTGCACCCCAACCGGCACCTGCTGCTGCAGTCCAGGCTGGGAGGGCGAATTCTGCAGAATCGGTTGGTACCTCTGTGAACACAGAAAACTGGGTCTGGGACAGTTGTGGGGACTCCGTAACATAGCAATCCAGTTCTGCCATCATCTTGTGTTCAAAATATTTAACTATTTGCAATAATATTAGTGCTCATCTGTTCTGAGCTTCTGAATTAAATCCTTCCCATTTCCTTAATGCCAACTATTCACATATATAAGCTAACCATAAACATAAAAGAATTTTACATGACTGAGTCCTTTCAAAAAGAAGAAAAACATGCAACCAGCCCAACCTGGCTGTCTCCGTGGGGCGCCCACCCTGGACTCTGTGTGCACACACCAGCCCGTGACTTAGTGTTTGCCAAGCACCCCCTCCGTCCCAGTATTTGCCAAACACCCCATAAATGCCCTCCCAGCTTTACTGCTTTCTTTTTTGCACACTAAAAATGGGGGTTTTCAATGAGTGTTACTAAATAAAAGGGAAAATGCAATTATCTAGAGTCATATTACGAGACTTTTTAATTCCGTTTGCTACTCCCCTGTGAACCATCAGCTAGGTGTGCAGCTGTTCAGACAGCAAAGGGGATTTTTATTCAGGGTTATTCTATCCTTGAACGTGAGATTTCCTCAATTTTGTGCAGTGATATTTAAATTCTATTTGACATGATGTGAGAAAATTAGATAAATTTAGAAACCCAGAATTTAAGGTATTATGTGTTAAAGATGCATATTAAACAATCAGCATATATACATCCACCTTTCTTAGACAATATTTTGACCCCCGTTATTTATATATTAAAGTACCTCTTGCCATTGAAAAGTTAAGCCCCAAATTAATATTTAATAATGTTCTTAATTCATAAATACTGTTTTTTATTCTAAGGATGTACATGTTTTAAAAATTATAACCATAACTTACCTAATTTATGTTGTCTAACAAAAATAACCAACATGCAAAGTCACTTTTGCAGTATACATTTAATGGTATTAATTACATTATGTAATTGATGAATACCATAACTGCATACCCAAAACCAAGAAGGAGGTATCAATTCAAACTCAAAAGAAATTAAGTAATTACATTATTTAAAACTGTTGCTTACATTGTATTGCTTCCAACCTCCTTCCTTTTTATTAGTTTACTAAAATATAAGAATCAGTGTTCAAATGTAATGATATTCAAATTCCTGATAATATATTTCCTTCTGCTTCCCTTAATGCCTGACAATATCTGTCTTTCTGTTTCTTTTATGTAGCATCCACTTTGTTGGATTCTTTACTTTACATTTTGCCTTGTTATGCAGGTAGTCAGTTACCAAGTATTTATGGAGTGCCTTCCAGAGAAAGCGTGTTTAACCTGAGTTTAAACAAATTACTTTGCATGTTGGTGACATTTTACAGGCCTTAATAGATAACAATAATATGTCATATAATGGAAATAGGCATTCTTTTAATTAACATGAAGTTTTATTTCAGTGAAGTTCCTTCCATTTTTCCACTAGTTAAATTTAAGTAGTTTTAATATATACGAGAAGCTATTTAATAGAGGTAATCTATCTGGGATATTTTTTACCCAAGCAAGAATTTATTCATATATCCACATGATTTACTCATCTCCCACAAAGTTAAATGAGAAAATTCTTATTCTTTCTTTTCCATGTGTCAGCCACAGACCCCTGGAAAATTCATTTGAAAAGGTGAAAATGACCCTGACCCCTCAAAGTATAAGGCAAGGTATTTAAGGTATTTGATTCTGTCTGCAATGGCTGCATTCACCAGATTTATCTAATCCACAAATTATAATCAATTTACATCGCAAATTCTATGCCTTTGTCCCATTTTAGCAGTGAAACTTTACATTCTCCACTTATACTGTAGTAGTACAAATTCTTTAATAAAGAAATTCAGTGCTGTGGAGTAACCCAGAAAGGTTTGTTCAGAACATTCTTTGCTGGCCAATTGCACTGTCCCAGGAATGGACTATGAAATGCGCTGTAATTAAAGCAAAGCATGTGCTGTGCAACCCCTGGAAGCAAAGAGAAGGAGGCGCCTGAGTGGTCCATATGGAGGATAGTCCATCCCACCCAAACTCCGAGCTGTCCTTACCTGGCCTCCTTCCCTAGGCAGGACGCTCCTGCTGAGATCCTGCTCTGGAGGAATGGATTCAGGTGCCCAGAAGGGTCTCTGTTGAAAAGTCCCTGTGGAGCAAAGATTCGGCAGTAATGAAATCTTTGTGTTAAAATCATTGAAATAGTCTCATGATCATGAAATGATCTGATGATCTCTGCTTCTTCAAATTCTCATGATTTCTTCTTCTCTAGAAATGTCTCCCACTGTCCGCTGAGTTCTGGCCCCAAGTAACTCTGGGTCTGAAAACCTTTCCTACTTACATACTTATCTTTCAGATCATTCTGTGATTGTCTTCCTCCTCTCTCCCTACCTTATTCATCAAATATCCGTGGGTCTCATACTCAACCCTCTCTGACATACAGAACCAGAGTATGATATTGTTGCTCTTTTTTTTTTTTTCTCTCCCAGCAAAATGTGAGCCAGCATGTCATCACGGTGGTGTCTGTGTTAGACCGAACAAGTGCCTCTGTAAAAAAGGGTATCTTGGTCCTCAATGTGAACAAGTGGACAGAAACATCCGCAGAGTGACCAGGGCAGGTATTCTCGATCAGATCATTGACATGACATCTTATTTGCTGGATCTAACAAGTTACATTGTATAGTTTCTGGGACTGTTTGAATATTCCTTCCAATGGGCATTTATTTTTTATCCTGTCATTAAAAAGAAAGACTGCTATCCTGCTACACACTCCTGTGATTTCATTTTCCTTTATTAATTTAAAAATAATTTCCAGAAATGTGCAGATCCTCTGTGTGTATGTTGGTATGTCTGTTCACTTAGGCACATACACACCTACACTCACAACCCCTATACATGTGGTTGCAAAACAGAGGTATATATATATATATATATTTCATTGTGCAGAGTAATTTGCACAGAAATTCCATTGTAAATTGATAATGGAATTTTTATTTAACCAGAAGATTATTTGACTTCCCAAGAATTTTCTGTCTGTAACTACTAAAGTCATCATAAATGGAGTTTTGAAACACTATTGTGCAATCTGATAGATCTAATAAAAAAGCAATACTTTTATATTAAAGGACTCTAAGAGACAATGTTTCAGAACTCCCTGATGAATTTCTGAATGAGCAACTTGATACAAAATTATAATCTTCATTTTTATCAATGTATCCAATTACAGAATGTTATGCACTTATCTTTTTATTTGGCAGGGCAATCTGGTTACTTCAGCTTAATCTCAAGATTGTTTTAAAATGCTTTATAATTAAATCATAACAGCATATTTTAAAAATCAGTCTTCCTGAAAGGTCTGCTTTTATTGTATATTTTATTTAACAATAGGCACTGGGTTTGTGTTACATATTTATATTTTTTATTTTATTTTTATAATATAGACATCACCTAGATGAAACACCTTTACCCTGTCCTGTAAAATACTAAAGTTACATTTTTCACCAACTTAATTGGAAAGAAGGGGAGTGAGAAAGCAAATGGTCTTTAATGTGCTGGGGATCTAATCTAGCAGTGTTTCCTTTTGCGAACATGTAATCATTAAAGACGGATGAGAAAGCAAGAAAACAGCTAATTCCTATAAAATTCCGGCATTAAACATTTGTAAAGTGCCTTTCACTATAGCAAGACTGTCAGAGTATATGTGATTAGAATGCTGCAGATTTCACACTGAATCAAAACCTCCCAGAAGAGCTCACTCGTTTTTATCCAATCTCGCTTGTGTAAGCTATCACTTGTACAAATTTTTAATATAATAATTCTTGCTGAATATGACTTTTAATGTATATGCTCCTTCAGACCTCAGTGAAAATACCATTTGGTTAATGTATCAGTAAATTTTCTGTAAACATTTGTTCAGGTTTTCAAGAGATGACATTGTTCTAACTTAAAACTGCAGACTCTGGTAGACATTTTTCTTAATGGTTTGGCCACTTCTCACACTCTTGGATGTTAATAAAATTATAAAGCCTCTGTGCACTGCTGAAAAGATCTCTACTCATGACAAGGGCACTCCCACTCTTGTCCTTCTTCTGTAAACATCTATTCCTCTAGGATCTAAATCGTAGAATCGTGTAGCTTATGCAGCACTGACTTTCCAAACCTGCTCCTTAACCTTAAGAACATGAGCCTCCATTAAATAATTTTTAAAACCTGGTAGCTAGTATTTATCTATTGTTTTAAAGAGAGAGTTGCAATGAAAGCAGTGTTTATATAGAAACCACAATGTAGAAAGAAAGATTAGTTAAGTACACTGTTCTTGTCTTCCATATATGATTACTTAAGTTTCAAGTGACCTCATGCCAAATGGAAATGGGTTGAGAAATCTTGGTTCAGTGCTTAGTGAACAATAGCCCGCATTAAAAAGTGCATGCATAATTTTGCACAATTTAGATTCAATTGACAGTCTATTCAAAGAAGTCTCAGAATTAAATGAGCATGGAGACCAAATTGCCCTCTTACCCCAGAAAAGGGGTGGTCCCTTCTAGTCTCACTAACACTTCATTGGCCCAACAGTGTGACAAATCTTGCAATGAACCATGCAGTAGCCTGCATCTGTAGGTTAATAGCAATCTTTTGTCTCCACTGCTTTCTCTTCATAGCCCTTTTACTGAATTCCATCACAGAAAGTTTTACAATTAAAAAAAAATGTCCTGACAACCATTTTTATAAATGGATCTTACCATCTAATCGTCCCTCATTCAATGTGGGGGACATTAACAACATGTGAGGTTCTTGTGAGGGAGCCAGCTGTCTAAATCTGTCAAATTGTGCAGTTTTATTACACATTCTCCCATTTATACTTTGACTGAAAACAATAAGGGTTCTGCTGTATATTCAGCAAAATCTTAAAACCCAAGTGTTTCTTCTTATATCTTTAATCTTTCTATCTCTTTCCCAAAATAAAAGGTGTTCTACTGCCATTAGTTCTGCTATTTAAATTAATCTATATTAAATTGACCAGACCCAGCTTTTTTTATATAGCCCTTGCCCAAGTGAATAAGTTTCAAGTGACTAGGAAAAGCATGTGTACCCCAGGTGTCGTTGCCTTTCTCATTGTGAGTTGTTAGAATAAAAGCCCAAATTGTTCTAAAAGGATGATAGCACAATCCATGGATATTAAACTCAAGCAAAGAAGGTGAAGTCACTGGAGGAGGTTTTTTTTTTTTTTTTTCTGTTCTCAGGAAAAAAGTAAGGGCAGTGGTAATTGATAGCTACATATTTTAAAGTAAGCGGCCAACTAAAAAAAAATTCTCTTTGACCTTTTCTTTCAAGTAGATTTTTTTTAAATGCCCGACGAAAATTATCTTCAGTGATTCATGATGAGAGGCAGGTAGCAACTGGCTAAAAAGCATGAGCTAAGGAAAAAATATTGTTTCATCACATAAAAGGCAAATTACTTAATTCATAAAGCACACAATCTAAAGTAGAAGAAAAACGTCCTTCGTATGAATGTGTATGTGGAAGATAAAGAAATAAAGAATGGACAAATATATATTATTACCCCCTTATCCATTCTAGAGCTTAAATTTTGGCTGTCAATTGAATGTGAAATGTTGAGATGCTTCTGTTAGTTACAAGTAACCTTTCTACCACTATTTCTGCCAAACTTTTGTCCTGGTTCATTGAATTCCAGACAGCTATTTAAGATTATAAAATGAAAACCAAATTGGCAGGTCTTGAATGTGAAAGGGAAGAAAGACCCAAGAAACTTATGTGATAGCAAAAATGCTTCTATGAATATCTCTTCTTCTTAGAATTTTATTTCAGTGTACTCATTGTAAAATATATCTTCTATTTCAGCACACAGAACACTCAAACATTTTCTCAGATTAACAGATCTATGCCATAATGAAGTAGTGAAGAAATTTGTGCGACACACACACACACACACACACACACACCCTAGCCAGAGAACTCTGTCATTCACATGCCTCAAAACACTTCCTTCTTCCCTAATTACTCATTTGAAAATTATTACAGACCATGTCCTAATAATTTTAATCCATGTTTTTGATGCTATTTTGATCTCTGAAACAAATTACACAGTAACCCTCCTAAGTGTAATGGGATTAGATGTTACATGTAGATTCTTTCAAAGCACACATTGGTTTAACCCTTTTTTAGTCCAACTTCCTGTTAAGTCTATTAGCTTTGACTTTGAAAGAGAAACTAAGTCTCCATTCTTAAAAGGAAATACAAAAGTATACCACAAGAAGTTGTAGTTGACTGATTAGCAAATTAATTTCTGAGGATCTGTATAGAATGTTAACTAAGATATTTGTATCCTCTCTCCCCCTTCTAGCTCTTTTTCTCTCTTTCCCTTTTAATCTCTTTCCTCTTCTTTCTCCTCCATTCATTCATTTTCAGTTGGTTTCGAGTAAGTAGACATGTCCTCAGCACATCCGTAATGAAGATGTCCAAGGGCAGGTAGCTATGGATTTTGCTCTTATGATATTTTATTTCTCTGAAAAATACCCTTTTCTCACATTTGCTCAAAATATGTATCATGAAAGGTAGTCGTCAGATAACATACTAGACTGATGCACTGAAAGAAATAATGAAGAGCACATATGACCGCCAATCCAAGCATCCCTGTGACACTACTCCATCTATAGGGCAGCTCCTCAAGAGTTTGAGCTAACAGTAGGGAACAACAGTAGCTATTTCCTACCCAAGCAACAGTCATTTTTATGAACTCTAAAGAATTTTTTCCTGAATCTTTGAGGAAAAAAGTAAGAAGTAGCTCTTCAGTGAAGACTTCAGAATCTTCTTTCCCTACCCCGAGATGAAATCCGAACTTGCAGAGAATTCAAGAAGAAAGTCCCACGCCCAAAAAATGTATATATTTCTTCATTAATCCCAGAAAGGAGGGGTGATATTACTGGGAATGCTGAAGGAATCCCATCAGAAAGTTCCTCTTTAGAATATCTGAAATAGAAGTTTGCTATTTTACCTTCTTTCTTTGTCACACCAACACAAATTGGTCATATTTCCGATATTAATATGATTATAAGGAAGGTGGGAAACTATCTATAGAAATATCTAGAACTATGGCCATGGAAACTTCCAAACACCAGTCTCAGTCAACTTCAACCCTTCTTCCTCCTATTTCCCCTAAATAAGTTTTGGAAATTGTCCTAAAATAATGTTAGGAGAGTGAGACATATTCATGGTAATATGATGGAGCTGTATTCTTAGAGTGATGATTTCCCTAGATGCTATGAAGAGGTTTGTTCATGTATAACATTAACATTTTTCTTAAATTCCTTATTAAATAAGATATACCCACCATTTACTTTCCTTTCCCATATACTTGTACAGGTCAAATATCAATCAGTTTAAAAAATTAAAAATAAAGAATAAATTCTATACACCAACATAAAACCTTATGCATGAAATTTGTTTTGTTTTTGTTTTTGCCACACAATAGTGATGTTTAAAACAATGGCACCAATACTACCATTAATTCTAACATTAATTCAACACTCATTCTAAGGTTATCTGTCATGTCTGTCATAAAGTAAAAATTATGTTTCATATAAGGTTTTTAAAAAATATATAGAATATACTTAAGTTCAAAGTATATGTGTGTATACACACACACACACACAAATATATATACAAACAGGTTAACATACATATAGGCTGAGTTATCTTGATTATAATCTTGTAAGTAAAAAATACCATATTATAACACAGTACATTTAGTATAGAAAAACTGATCATTAACAGTGATGGGGAGTTCATAATGGCTAAATACAACATAAGCTTTTTCTTTACACAAACCACTCTTGTACATCTCTCTGCAATAAAATAACCAGACAGTAGCTTCCATGCACATGAACAAGGTATGATCAGGTTTGGTGTTGTCTATGCCAGAATATATGTATGGTTCTTCATATTCTTAAAATCAGAAACATGACTTTCCTAGAATAAATTAGAGTTCAGCCAGGGTGAGTGGCACACACTTAGCTACTTCAGAAGCTGAATGAGCCAGGAGGATTACAATTTCAAGGCCAGTTTGGGGCAACCCAATAAGACCTTGAATCAAAGTGAAATTCTGAAAAGTTCTGAGGATGTAGCTTAGTAGTACAGCACTTTCCTGACATGCACAAGCCCCTGGGTTTTATCCTGAGCACCACATAAAGAAAGAAAGAGTTCATCTACAATAAGATCCCTTTTATAAGCTATTATTGATAAACC